TCTGGGCCAAGGGCACGATCCCCACCTGGCCCCTCCCCTCTGGGCCAGGGGCATGATCCGCATCTGGTACCTCCCGCTCCAGGCCAGGGGCACAATCCCCACCTGGCACCTCTCCACCCTTGAAGAAAAGCCCCTTTGGCCAGACTGGGAAAAGCTCTAGAAGGCAGGAGCTGTGCCAGAAACTAGAAGAAATTCCCTTCTCCTGACAAGCACTTTGCAAAGACTCCTCCTGCACAGAGCCTGGGAATTGCCAAAGCCTCACGTGTCTTTGGGTCCATGCTGGGTGGCCTGTGGGTGCAACAGCTTGCCAAGGAAAGCCTATAAACTCAGGGCTGAATTCTCCAGTCCTCTACAGCTGCTTACGTAGATGCTGCGTGAATAATTCCCCTGCATAAAGCTGCCAGACCCCCCAAGGGCCCGGGAAAGGGGTGAGGCGCAGGGCAGGGAGGCATGGTGGAACGGAGCTCTGCTCTGCCCTGTCCTCCATTGGCTAAAGAGCCTAAGAGCCTCCATGGCTCAGGATAAGGAAGCCACGCCTGGCTCCCTGTGGCCCCCCTCCCCTAATTCCCCTGAGCTCTGAGTGGAGATTCCAGCCCTCCATCTCTTGGTGAACACTGGGGGGCTCTGCTGGGCAGAAGCTAGAGGGGGCACTTCAGGATACCCCACAGAGCCAGAGTCCGGGTGGTTCTCTCAGCCCAAGGGGGAGCCCTGGACATGCCATCCTGAGCCCGAGGTGCCTGGGACCACTGGTCTCTGGTACGTTGTTCTGGACAGGACTCCCTTGTTCTATCCGGGCTGGAGCCGCCAGCCTGAGACTTATCCTGCGCTGGGACACCTTCTCCTGCTTCGCGCAGTCCAGTGCTCTGGCCGACGTGGTGCCCGTAGGCTGCAGTGTCTCCTGTGCTAAGTGCATCCCAGGGGTGTCTGTGCAGGCTGGCTGGTCCCTCCGGCCTGGTTTAGCTCAGGCTGCACCCAGAGAGCCACTGCACCTTCACTTCCTCCCCACGGTTGCTGTGAAACCCCCGTCTAGCTTCACAGACAGGGAGCCAGTCTCCCGTCACCAGGGACAGAGCAGCAAGCAGCGGCTCTCCCCTTCGCTGGGCTGGGCCAGGGCAGTAAACAGGTCCTGGGTAACTAGTGGCAATGTATTACCCACGGGTCCAAGCCCACGCTGTGCCAATCTGGCGAGGATATGAGTGGTTACGGTGCCTGCAGCAGGGGCACAGCTCTTCAGCTCACACTGCAGCCACTCACGCTTTTAGCTTGGAGGTTCAATTCACTGTCAGGCAGCGCCCCACCGGTTAAATGTGCCGGGCTGGTGAGATAAGGGCCCCAGGGGAAGAGCGATAACAGGCCCTGGCAGCAGAGAAAAGCTTCCAGAGGTACCGAGAGCTTGGGCTGGTGGGAGACTGAACCCAGCGTAACGAATGGCTAGGCTGAGCCGGGGGGACAACCTGCAGAATGAGACGGAGCTCACTCGTTCATTGCTCAGAAATACCAGGCCATTCCACACCTACCCTTCTTCCGGACGACTTCTTCTGATTCTGGCTTGCGGCTGACAGAGACGACCTTCATCACCAGGTGGTTTCCCCCCTGCCGGATCAGCGACACCACTTGCTTGTGCCCTACCTTTACCACATTCACACCATTCACCTGGGATGCAAAGAGACACTGATCAGCACAAACGCTGCCCAACCACAGCAAGCAGGCAGCAGGAACACAGGGGGCTTAGGGGCCCCAGGCTACGTTCTGAACTTGCAGAGCACACTGGAGATGTGTGTGCAGCAGGAAGCAGGGTCGGGGACAGGAAACCCAGGTCACCTGCACAGAGCTCTGTAGTTAATAGTTAACAGATGGGGAAACTGAGGCTGACAGGGGACGTGAACTGTCCAAGATCACAGAGGGAGTCAGTGTTAGGTCTGAAGCCATAGCTAATGGGATTTCAGATGTTGCAGAGACCGTGCTAACAGAAGCACTCAGATACAGTCAGCTCGTGTACAGTGGGGTCAAGCGACCCGGGGGCCAAAGCCCGTCTCATTGATGTGTCCATTAGAAATATCTGGAGATGAGCCTCCCTGTCAAGACCTAGGTGTAAATGACTTACATATCGCACATTTACCGTGGACGACGACTCCCCCAAACAGAATTAACGTGTTTTATGGGCACAGCACCATACATAAGGGCCAGTGTTTGAAACCAGGAGACTTAGAACTAGGAAGAAAAATAAGCAATCTGCTGGTACAAAGGAACCTACTCTGAAAAATCTACTACGGTGACACCAACTGGCATAGTAATGAGCTGTAACATCTGTGGCCACGCTGGACATTGCTAGGCAAACAACTCTGATCTCAGGCACGTGGGAAGCATGCACACCATGAGTGGAATACGGGTATGGACAATCACTCAAAGGAGAACCCAGGAATTTCTGGTTTCTAGCCCTGAGTTTAATTCCCCAGAATTTCCTCTCTTATCATCATGTTTGTTAAATTTTTTCAGCAATCAGTAGGCGCCATGTTGGTTATCATTCTTCCCCCAGTTTCTAGTGCTAGTATCCAGCTTTTTAAAGACTTCTTGGGTCATAAACAGTCTGGTTGTGATCCAAGGCCTCATGACATGCAATAAGATGTAGACTAGCACGAAATGGAAGAAATGAAAAAATCAGGCACCCGTTAGTCACTTAAACAAGTGGCCTGAATTTGAGAGGTGCTGAGCACAGGAACCTCGTAAGTGGAGGTGTGCAGCGCTTTTGAAAATCAGAGCACAGATCTAGGTGCCTAACCATGGATGCCTAGCTGTAGGCACCTATGCTTGGAAGTGTTGGCCTCAGCTCTCTGTGACTCAGTCACCTCCTTTGTAACATAGAGGTGGGATACCACTGAGTACCCACTTTTGTAAAGTGCTTTGACAGCTACTGATGAAAAGTGCTGGATACTCCAAGAGCCACTAGTATTGTGATCGTGAGTTCATTAATGGGGCTAGATGGCGGGCAGATGAGGACAGTTGACACTTACTTTATCTATTGGTAATAGAATTAAAATAAAATAAATTTTTAAAAAGACAATCTATATGATAAAAGAACACTATTAAGGTTGTGAAATCAAGCCAGTTTATGTTGCCTGTGCAACATTAATTGTGCCCCTTTGTGCACATGCATTATGAGACCGTCGTCCACAGGACCACAGGCTCATTCAGTGCACAGGATGAACAGCTGTTCAATATTTTTTTTCATATTTCTTTTAGTGACCCTTGCCTTATGTACTGGACATCAGCCAAAGCCTGCCCTGAATAGAGCATTATTCATTTCCTCGTGGTCTTTTCTACGGTGCTCATCCACACAGCATCGGAGAGACTCTCAAACATTAAAGGAATTTATATCCACATCACCCCTGTGTGACAAGAGGAGCAGGTAGGAGGGGGGTGATGTTACCTCTCTACGCTGCATTGATGAGACCAGTGTGGGAATAACTGCATAGAGATCTGGTGTCAACATTTTAAAAATGATGTTGAAAAATTGGAGGTTGCAGAGAACATAAAAAAAAGAAAAAGATGAGATCTGGAAAAAGGCCTTACAGTGAGAGATTGAAGGAGTTCAATCTGTCTAGCTTATCAAAAATAAGATTGAAAGGTGACTTGATTACACTGTATAAGTACCTTCACGGAGAGAAAATGCCAGGTACCAAAGGCAAAGGAAGGCATAATAAGAACCAACGGCTTGAAATTAAAGACAGACCAATTAGATTTATTAACAGTGCAGCTGATTAACCACTGGAACAAACTCCAAAGAGAGTTGATGTCATCTAACCAAGCCTAGATGCCTTTCTGGAAGAGATGCTCTAGCCAAACAAACTATTGGGTGAAATACAGGAGTAACTGGGCAAAATGAAAAGGCCTGTGATATTCAGGAGGTCATAGTCTCTAATTTTTCAACATCCTTTTAAAAATGTGGACACCAGAACTGTACACAGTATTCCAGTATTGGTCTCACCAATGCCATATACACAGGTAAAATCAAATCCTTACTGCGCCTACTTGCTACTCCTCTAGTTATACATCTAAGAATTGCATTAGGGCTTTTTTTTTTTTGCAATCGCATAGCATTGGGAGAGCAAGTTGAGCTGCTTGTGTACTCCGACCCTGTCATAACTATAAAGGGAAGGGTAACAGCCTTCCTGTGTACAATACTATAAAATCCCTCCTGGCCAGAGACACCAAAATCCTTTTACCTGGAAAGGGTTAAGAAGCTCAGGTAACCTGTCTGACACCTGACCTAAAGGACCAATAAGGGGACAAGATACTTTCAAATCTTGGGGGGCGGGGGGGGAAAGGCTTTTGTTTGTGCTCTTTGTTTTGGTGGTGGTTCGCTCTTGGGACTGAGAGGGACCAGACATCAATCCAGGCTCTTCACATCTTCTGAACAAGTCTCTCGTATTTCAAACTTGTAAGTAACAGCCAGGCAAGGCATGTTACGTTTATCTTTGTTTTCTCAACTTGTAAATGTTCCTTTTTGCTAGAGAGTTTACCTCTGTTTGCTGTAACTTTGAACCTAAGGCTAGAAGGGGTTCCTCTGGGCTCTTTGAATCTGTTTACCCTGTAAAGTTATTTTCCATCCTGATTTTACAGAGATGATTTTTTACCTTTCTTTCTTTAATTAAAAACCTTCTTTTTAAGAACCTGATTGATTTTTCCTTGTTTTAAGGTCCAAGGGTATTGGATCTGGACTCACTAGAAATTGGTGGGGGAAAGGAGGGGGAATGATTAATTCCTCCTTGTTTTAAGATCCAAGGGGTCTGGATCAGTGTTCACCAGGGAATTGGTGGAGGAGTCTCTCAAGGCTACCCAGGGAGGGAAAGGTTTTGGGGGGGAAGACAGAGTTTCCCAAATGACTCAAACTATTTGGGTGGTGGCAGCAAAAGCAGATCTAAGCTGGTAATTCAGTTTAGAGGTTCACATGCAGGTCCCCATATCTGCACTCTAAAGTTCAGAGTGGGGAAGGAACCTGACAGACCCCTAAATCCTTTTCAGAGTCGCAGCTTTCCAGAACACAGGCCCAGTCTGTAGGCATGGCCAGCATTTCTTGTTCCTAGATATATAACTTTGCATTTGGCTATATTACAAGGCATTTTGTTTGAGTGGGCCCAGCTTATCAAGCGATCAAGATCGCTCTGTATGACTGCCCTGTCCTTGTCACTATACACCACTCCACCAACCTCTGTGTCATTCACAAATTGTATCAGCAGTGATTTCATGTTTCACTCCCAGATCATTGATGGAGATGGTGAGTAGCATCAGGCCTAGAATCGATCCATGTGGCACGTCACTAGAAACACTCACATGCAATGTTGATTCACCACTGACAACAGCTGTCTGAGATCTGTCAGTTAGCCACTCCTTAATCCATTTAACATGTGCTCTACCGATCTGTACAGTGCTAATTTTGTAATCAGAATGTCCTGTGGTACTAAGGCAAACGCTGTACAAAAGTCTAAGTATATTACATCTACGCAGTCGTCTTCATCAACCAAACTTGTAATCGCATCCTAGAACTAAATCCGGTTTGTTGGACCAGACCGATGCTCCATAAAACCATGCTAGCTGGCATTAATTACATTCCTATCCTTTAAGCCTTAATTAGTTGAATCCTGTATTGGTTTTTCTGTTATTTTGCTTAGAACTGATAGACTAGCCAGCCTACATGTGTCCAGGTCATGCCACTTGCCCCGTTTGACTACCAGCACAACATTAGCATCCACTCTTCTGGAGTGTTCCTTGTATTCCAATATTTATTAAAAATTAACATCTGCGGGACAGAGAGCTCCTCAGTGAACTCTTTTAGGAGTGCAAGTTATCTGGACCTGCTGGTTTGAAAATGTTTCTCCCTAGTAGAAGTTATCCAATATCCTGCTCAGTTACTAGTGAATGGAAAATACTTCATCATCCTCATGTGATACGATTAGATCATCCTGCATCTTTACAAACTCAGACCAGAAACAGTTATTGAACACGTCTGCCTTTCCACAGAATCACAGACCCACAGGGCTAGACGGGACCACAAGGGTCACCTAGTATACCCCCGTCGAGATGCAGGATGTGCTGTGTCTAAACCATCCGAGACAGATGGCTCCTCAGCCTCCTCCTAAAACCCTCCAGTCAAGGAGCTGGCGCCTGGTCCGTTGTCCTACTGCTCTGACAGTTAGGAAATTTCTCCTGAGATTTAACGATTTTCTGCATCATTAACAACAATTTAATAGCATCACAGAGTTTAAGCCGAAAACGGCCACCAGCTCACGCAGTCTGACCTCTTGTGTATCACGGGCCGTTACAACGCCCAGATACCCCTGTGATGTGGCTCAAAGTGTCCCTGGAGGGGAGTTAAATCTGCACTGGAGTAGCCGCCTCCTGCACCCCCTTGCCCCTGCCGTGTCAGGAAGAGGGAAGGGCATGTCAGCCATGTGGTGGAGCTGACCCCCACGGTGTGACATCTTCTGCCGGCACCAGCTCCATTATGGAGCTGACGCCAATGGTAACCTTTCCAGTGGGCCCCCGGCTGCTCTAACTGCCAGGGAGGCTGGGCAGCTGAGGGTCATGGCGCTGGTCTGATCTCAGCGTGGAAAGTCAGGGCTGCAGGGGTGGCTACTGGTACGCTGAGGGGTGGA